GAAAATAGTTTAACTCCACATCTCTATGTGGATCAAGTCCTTGAACCTCAGTAGCTGCCCTTCCTGCAGGATCATCCAAACATGACATTCTGGTGGGATAGGGCTTGCTATTAGCGTAAAGATGATTCTTGTTAGATAAGAATGTGAAAGTTATGTCATGGATACCTTACTTGCCAGAAGTGAGCACAACTAAACATCTGTAAGATGAGTCTGGTGATGAGTGCAGTCTGGCATCTAATGCTCTAAGACCAGCAAAGAGTCACATGCTTGTCCAGGCTGGAGAAAAATTAGATAAAATCCCCCAAGACAGAAATTATATTGTAACTTGAAAGACATTATGCATTGCAGCTATACCGCTAGTGTTCGCAACAGTAGCCTCACATGCTACTAGCCTGTGATCTTTAACTGTAAGATTCATGTTGATCAACCCCATTCATGACAATTGTTAATCAGCATAATGATTTTACTGATGTCATGTCTAATAATTGTCATTTATCATTTTCCTGATAATTTTGTGATTTTGTTGCAACTACACATAATGTTTCTTTTGATACCATCTGTATACACTATGGATGCATATGCATTTTTTTTTCCTGAGGGTTAAATCAGAAAAAATAACAAGGGAACTTACAAACAAGATGAAACCATTTAGACCATTTAGCTCATTTGATTTTTTTAGTAGCTTGTTGATGAAAATGTCTTCTCTATTCTTTTCTTGAAAGCCAGAGAGTCAGCTTCAACGGCATAGCTTTGCAATATGTTCTATAGTCCATCACCCCTTTGTGTAATGAAGTGCACTTATTCTCAGTTTTAAAAGCATTAAATAATTTCCACTTCTGTCCTCTGGTTTTTATTTCACTGGTGATACAGAAGAAGCAAATTAAGAGATAGTCTTCTCTGTTCAAGACTAAGATTCAGTTCTTTTAGCCAGTCAGTAGAGGCAAGCAATGCTCCTCTCTGGACTGGTTCCAGGTCAACAAATATTTTTATATCTTAGTGAACAAAATTTACAGTGTTCTCAATAAGGCCTTACTCATCTGATGGACTGTTTCACTATTTCACTAAGTTTGATGTAATCACAAAATGAAAACAAAATATCTATACTCTCCAGATCAGCTTTGCTGAGCTCTATTATTTACTGTAATATTTACTATTTATAATAATAACTAATAATATTTATATGTAATATTTACTGTACTGATTGTGCCGTATTTTCTGCCATTATTTTCTGTTATTGTTTTTATAATACTATTACCTTTTTTGGATACCATGCTGTAAAGAAAGAAAGAAATAATTAAGTGAATTAAGAATAAGTACATTGAGAACTAAGCTAATTGTTAAAATGATTCTCAGAAGTCACTGGGAAAAAATGCATGTGAATACTGTAATATGTATAGTTTGTAATATTTGTTAATGTACCGATTTTTAGCAACTTAGAAACACTAACAACTAATTTTATATTTCAACGTACAGCAATAATGCATAACATGATAGTTTTGTAGTTTTTAATTTTAATAAATATTTTTTACTTTGGTTTCACTACAGCTTTCACATTGACTGCACATGTATTTACAGTGAGAACAGCCTATTTTGTTTGATATAGAATAATTTGATTTTCATTCTTTATACCGCTATTGTGAATCCAGTGCTTGGTTAAATCAGTTAGGCTGTAAAAAAACATTGAATCATGAATATAGCTTTTTTTGTACTTCATATCTTCAGGAAGCCCACTTTAGTCAATCTCAAATCTTATTCTTTTTCTAGCTGTCATCATCAACACCTTTAACAGGATTTTTGTCCCATGGCTCATTAAACTAATGGCTTAATGGAGTTCCCATTCAATGGCTGCAGGTTTTTGGGGGAGTTCAGTAAAAGGTCAATTCACTGAGATCGTCATATATTTCTGTTTTGAAAGATCCCATAGATAATAGTTGTTCGTTTGTTTTTTTGGTGCTGGAAGTTTATGACCATTTTATTTGTTCTACTGCAATTTTATATGGTTCGGTAAATGTCAGTTTTCATCTTACTGATTGCAGTTTGGGCAGCACGGTGGTGCAATGGTTAACATTATTGCTTCGCAGTGCTGGGATCCTGGGTTCATTTTCTGGGCTATTTCTGCATAGGATTTGTACTGTATGTTCTCCCTGTGTTTTCATGAGTTCCACCTTCAGTCCGAAGACAAACTGGTAGGATTGGCTTCTGAGAAAGCTTGTTCTGGGTGAGTGTGTGCATGAATGTGTCTCTGTGTGCTTAGCAATGGACTGGTGTCCTGCCCAGGGTGTAGGCTCCAGCTCCCCCACTACCCTCTACTGGATAAAGCAATTAGAAAATTGATGGATGATTCCAAATCATACTTTTGACCTAAGAATTTTAAGTCCATTCATGTTCTTTTAAAAAGATGTGTTTTCTTCTTTACTTGGAAATGATTCTGTTGTCCTTCATTACAGATGTTATTCTCATTCCATCAATACATCACCATTCTTAGCAGTGCATCTTCCTTTGAATGTGATGTCTTTGATATATCTACTGTATATCAATCCAAAAGCCTCCCACTCATTTTTAAATGTTTTTATACATTTATGTTCAGTTTTGCCATCCTTTAATTTAGTTTTTTCAGTGGATATTGATTGAAGAAATCGTAGTCTCTTCCTGTCTTCCATGAGTTCAAGGATTTCCTCAGTAATCCACTTGTTTTTCATCCACTTCCTGATTGTTGCATGCATTTCTCATTTCTTACTTATGATAGTTCCATTTGCTATTTCACCTAGTGTTTTCTCAGTATTTCATCCGTTTCTATCCTCTTTTATTATTTTCCAACTTTCACATTAGATCTCAGATCACTGTGACCACATCTTGAAGTTTGCATTACTTTTTCTTGCTTTAACAGATTTGTTATAGAAAGTTGCTAAATTGTGTACAATTATAACCATTTACCCATGATGGTTCTTGCAATACCTGTCATAAAAACATATTTTCCACTATGACACAGAACACAGAGCAAAAGTAAAAAGAGCCATGATTGAAAAAAGGTCTAATCGGAAAGGTATTATCTCCTCAGGCAATTAAATGTTTTATTTTGTGTCTGTCTTAAGTGATGGACATACTGTAAATCTTGAAATGGTGGAAAAAAAAAGGAAAGTTATGTTCATAAGATATACTATAGTTGGCTCACAAGAAATTAGCGTACTAAGATTTTGATCCCAGATTATTATGACAACGATCACCCCTGTATACACATTATACAATATTTTTCTCAATTAAAGTACTGTATAGGCTTTTACACCCTCAACTATATTCTTGAAATGTCCTTCAACACCACCTTTATTTCTGAGAAAACATTTGGCAGTACTCCCATATAGATCTAAATTCTGAGTAGCTATTTGTTATGTTTAAACAAAGAAGCAGTGTCTGTAAATGTTGATTTGTATTGGAAACTTCTGTTTTGATGTATGACATGCAGCATTTAAACCAGAATCTTTGTGTAACAGAGACGAAACAAAAGTACTTAATTGAAAGAACCAAACGTTTCTTTCCAGTATCTCTGTTACACAGACATTTCAATTAAAATGATTTATTACAAATACATAATGGATTTACAATAAGTAACTAAAGATGTAACTGCCTGGGGGTTGGGTTTTAGTACTGAAATAAGTAAAAACTAACTTTTCTAATTATTTTTGGTCTTTGCAAGAGCACATACAGTACAGATGTAAGTTGTTTGTTTGTAGAGTAAATATGTATTCAAGACATTTTGGTAGCTATTGAGTGTTTTTGGAGGCATCATCTTCATGACTTAATGACCATTAAAACAACAAATACACCTTTATCTGATCAAGCTGTATATACTGTATATCTATCTTTTTGTAGTCCTGATTCTAAAAGGTAACCTACAAACTTGCCTTGCTGACTATGCATAAATTACTTACAGTAGGTGCCTCAGGCTATTACCAAAATGAATTACATGGGAGATTTTTTTTAATTGCAATATTTAACTCCTTCCCATTTCCTACAAAAACACCAGGACTGTCATCGACAATCAAAAGCATTTACTGTATATACAGTTTCAGTATTGTACTGCTTTACTAATGAAGTAATGAAGCGGTGTTTTTTGTCTGGGTTAAAACAGTGGTTAAATCTTACAATATTACAATATAATGACTATTCTTTTTGTAGCAGAAGGACATGCAGTCCATAGTTATGTCTGCTTCTGAGAATCCACTTTAGTGATTAACAAACAATAATTAATGTTCTTGCTTTCTCTTGCATGGAAGCTGTTTTTGCATCAAGTTTAATGCCATGCTATTACCGAAATAAAAAGCTTGATTACTTTTTAACATGATCTCAGCTGGATCTCATCCTGTGCCAGGCAAAAGACAGAGCTCCTGAATAATTATCATAGTAAAAAAAGCAGATGGGATCACTAAAAGCTTAAAATTGTCTAAAAAGTGTTTTTAGCCATTTTTAAATTCACAAGCACTGTGAGTAAAGTACAAATGAAATTAAAATTAACAAGACATAGTCTTTTTGTTACACTTGTTACAGTGCAAATTATTTGCAACTTATTTCTGTATTATAAACATTGCAGTTTACAGTTATAGAACTCCTTTTTGGATTAATTACATGTTCCTTTCAGACAAATAACCACAAGGCTGGTTTAATATCAATAAACTCAACAATCAAACAAAACAGTGCTTCACTTTCCAATATTTCTGCACAATTGAATATGAAGTTGTCGTTATACTCCTGTATAATGACACTTTTATTGTGAAAGCATTTTTGATAATTTAATCAAAATGAATTTTTAAAGTAGACAGAGGTTAATCTGTATTTTTAGCAAGAATGTGCAAGAAAAGTCAAGGTTAAATCTATTTATCAGTACTTCTGCATCAAAGTACCATACTAGAAGTACTGTATCAGATTAACATGTGCCCTCTCATTGACAGTTCATCATAATTTTGTTACAGAGACTGTCTAATTAAAGTTCCTTTTTACAACCTCAGGTGACAAGGAAATGAACATCAAGCATCATGAAAGGGTGTTAGAAAACAAAACGTCCAGGTAGGCAGACCTTCATGTTTTCATAGGCAATTTTACTAAAGTATGTTTTAAAGAAAAACAATGTTTTATTAGTTACCTGAAGTTTAGTTGCTGTAAATGATTTTTAGTAATTTCTTAATTGGGACAGCACATTTAATGGTAATGAGACAATAAATTACATGAGATAAGATGTGGTGACAGAGCAATGTAAAATAAGTTGTTTTGGCTCATTTGATTTAATGAGCAGTGTGAAAAGTCAACAAAACCACTGAAATTGATTCTGCAAAATGATCCTCTTTGCAAGCTCCCATCAGAGTGTGGTATATCTAAAATTAATTTAATCAAAGTAGCTTTCTACTTGCACAGCCATTAGACAGCAACACAGAGGTATTCATACAGCATTGACATCTGAAAGGCTTATTCAACTTTGTGAAAGCTCTAAATTGAATATCCAATTCTAGCAGCTAGAATTCTACACACAAGAGTAAACATAGATTATATGCATGGATTTCTGAACATTTAATCCATTTTATATTGTGTATCCAGTAGGTAAGGTGAGATTCAGTTAATAGCTGATTTTCTTCTTTTTTTTTTCATATGAAGGTATTCATGGTATCTTTCCTTGTGTTACATTATCTCATTATCTTTAGTGTAGTTTAGGTCTGGGATTTTAGCTTTTGGTTCAAGACAGACACATTTTGTAAATTAACACTTTTGTGTTTTTTTTTTCTCAGTTTATTGGAGAGTAAGTCTAAGATGTAAAATTCTTCGCACTTTGGAAAACATAACGCAAACCTGATAATTGTGCTGGTGTTTCAGTCCTAGCCTTTAACAATATATTCTAATAGGAGATGTCTCCCAGAAACATATTGTGTTACTCCATATTTAATTACTGCTCAGCTTTTCCTGTTATGATTTTTTCCCTATCTTATTTGGCACTAAGGTAAAAGCAGCTGGATAATCTTCTATTGTAAGTGTCTTTTAAGTGTGCTTACATATTAAGTAGAGAAAAAGAGCGGTGGCTACAGTATTTGTTTGGAAACAGCTGATAAATGCAAACCAAATGTACATATTTGATAAGCAACACATTTGGTTAAAAAGCTTTAGGAATGAATTGTACGTAAAATTAATGTATGAATACATGCTGTTTGAAATGTCTCAATTTGAATTCTCAAGTGAGTACAAAGCTGCAACAATGTATTATTCAAACCCATTTATGACACTGTTTACAGTCAATGCAATGGTCATTTTTCTTAACATAACTTCTTTATGTTAACAGACAAAACTACCTTCTAAAGTGGCTTGTTACTTAAAATCTTTCAATTGTAAAATCTTTACTTATCTTACCTCATAATATAACATAAATCCTAATCTCTAGTGCATAAATGTACTGCATAGTGTACTGTATGTGCATAGGGGTGGGTGTGCAAATATTGTTTTTCAATGATTCTTGTTATCCCTTTTATCTGATTTCACTTCATTCTGATATTTAGAATAAACAACTTTATTTCGATAGTTGCTGTTTTGTGTAGAGCCTTTAAAGTAAACATTTATATGCTAAATTTAATTTTACTTTGAGTTTTCTTTCCTTTCAATCAGCTTGTACTTTTAATTATGTAGTATACAAAACATATTTTCAGTGCTTGACACAGATAACAGTGTATCCTATGAAAGGTCTTTGCTTTTAGATTCTTTCAGGGGGAGGACCTGTTTAATACAATCCCTGCAATGCAATGATTAATAAAGCTAACTACAAACACATTTGATGAAATTTGGTCTGCCAAAAGAAAAAACATTTTCATTCAAAATCTTTTGCAGGTGCTCTTGATTCCCATTGCTCCATTAACAGCTAAATTAACATGCTAATCTCTTCAACTTGAATTAAAATCAATTAATTGGTAGCTCAAGGAAAGAAATAAAATGCAGTGTTTTCGTGTAGCAGCCAAATTGGACATTTGAGAAGCTACTGAGAACTGTTTTAGTCTCATTATTATATAAGGTTTATTCAGGATTGTCAAACTGCAGTGCTTATTTTCTTCCTAATGGTATAATACTTTAAAAGTGAACAAAATAAAGATGATTCCAGCAGTCGACGATTCATGGGATTTTTGGTTTCTTAATGGGAGAGCATCTAACAAGAAATTACAGTCTGTATAATCATTTAACATAGCTGAATCTGGACAGGTAAAAGTTAACAAAATAAACTCAATTATTGTTATCATTTGGGATTTATTTTGAACAGCTTTCAAGTCTACAATGCCTTAATTAAGATAAAATAATGCCTCAGACTCAAATTTTGTTTGATCTGTTCTTACAATATCACTTTAATGGTAAAATATACCAAGATCAGTTTTGAGTCTCTCTGCTGTGCAAAATTGAACTGCTATTTCTTTACCCATGTGTACTAAATGTAGTTTTCTAAGTACAGTAATTGTGTAGCCTTTCTTCACTCATAAGATCCAAACAGAGTGATTGATTATGGACAATTTGAAACAATTGTTTAGGAACATTGTGTCAGAGCCACTTAAAAACACTTTTGGAATTGTGCTTAGTTCTAATTTGCACTTTTCATCGAATATCTAATGTTTTTAAACAAATTAGAGGTTTGATTCATAAATTTTTCTTGCAACACTCCATTTTTTGCATGTGTTGGAATTAAAATTAACAACAAAGCCAATCAATGTGATTAATGAGATGAGTTTTTACCACAGGACAACCTTTAAATAAGGTATTTACTTTGAAAAAAAGAAAGCTTTTTATAATAGTGTACAGTATACTGTATATGCATTGGGGTGGATTAAGGTTGTAAGTCTCTGAATTCATAGCTGGTGGTTTGTGTGGTCAAGACCCTATTGCAGAAAGTGTTGTACAGTACCTTGAGTGAAGTACCAGCATTATTTAGGATAATCCCTGTGATTGTCCAGTATTCAGTTCATTTTAGGGGGATTACACAATCTATTGTTCACAAAACACAATGACACCAACTTAAACTTTGGCCCAATAAGTGGATGTGGCTCAGGTATGGAAATTACCTCTGCATGTGTTAGTTCCCTTTAATAAAAAATCACTTTCTGCACAGTACAGTTAGTCCGACTTTGCTGAAATCATTTTGGTTAAATCTCATCTCTCTTGAAAAAACAACCACCTTTGCTGAAAACAGAATCCAGAAACCTGCATGCAGATTATAATGATTAAATTGTGACATCATAAAATGATGCACATGTAGACAAATCTAAAGAGATTTGCTGAAGTCAACGTGAAACTCCTTATCATTTTTTTTCTTGTGATATCGTGATCTTTGAGATACTGTAGCTGTGATTTCCAAAACTTCATAATTTTCACAATGCTGATGAGGCAAGAGCTGAATTTGCCCTTGAGTCCTCTGTGATTTATTTTTGCTTGTAATGTACAGTAAATAACCAAATTGAGTAAAAAGTTCAATTTTCCTCTGAAATAGACTGTTAGGATGTTCTTTGTATTCTGTTTATTCTTTTCTTCGATCAAAGTGTCCATTATTCTGATATAAATTATTTAATGTTCTGTCTTAATGTTTTATTGGTAATTCTAAATAAATCTTTATACTGTATATTGACTACTGCTCTGCAGTGAAACAATTGGCTTGTGAAAGTAGCCTTTCTGAATACAAATAAGATTATCTGATTACTGTTAGTTTTTTAAAACATTTTAAGATTGAGCTCTTACAATTATATATTTGCTTTTTAATTAAACTTTGAAAAGATTAAAATTCTTTGTCTGATTTTCTGTATTTTTTTAATAAATAATGATATTTGATATTATAGATAACAGGATAAAACTATGACTAGTCTTGTGAATAAGAAACAGTATATTACAAGGACACACACTTCCACATAAAAACGGAGAATACAGGCACCACTAAAGTTTGCATATTAAACATTTTATCATTCTGTTTTTAGGAAGCAAGTTCTCAGATATTCATGGCATTCCACATGGAGTTTGAGAATTGTTACCTGTTAGTGAATGAAAATAAAGACCTACAGGATGCCATTCTTCAGCAATATTCCCTTTATTGATGCTTACATCATCTTCCACCACACTGCTTGTTTCCCAGATGATGGTTGTGTGTATCTAGCTAATTTCCTTAACTCATAACTTCTTAACAACACACTGAGGAATCCAAATCAAATTTCTTCTGTTTAGCCCTAAACAAACTGAACTGAGACAGTGTCAGGCTGGCAGATGGATACTGCCCTTTTGCAATTCACAGATTCAATTTGTCACTTCGAGCACCAAAGCATGAGACGTACATGTAATCCTTGCATATGAAAAGATCTGCAGTTGTACTTCCTAGCCAAAGCATAGTATACACTACATCTTAAACTCACACAGATCCCTAACTTTTTCATACTGTACCATTACATTTTGCAAAAGCAAGTTTAGCTAACTTGCAAACATAGTGTAGAACCCTTTTGGTTCTTTCCCAACATGGCAATTTTGATTGCATACATAGTGAGCAAATACGTCCTCTAGAAACTATTTCTTTCCAGAATATAATAAAGGACACTTTCATTACACCTGTGTTATTATGTGTGTTTTGTTAGGTGTTGTGCGTCTACAGAAAAATAACTAGAACATACAAAGTTTGGGAGGCATAGTTCTGCCTTATAATATTAGGGCTGTAGGTTTAGTTCCGATGATACGTTCTTCCTGTGTTCCAAAGACATGCAGCTAAGTTAACTTTCTCCTGGGAAACCTGCCTTGGTGTGAGCATGTGTTTTTGTGTGTGCCCTGTGATGGACTGGCATCCCAACCAGGGTGTATCTTCCCATTGTTTTCCAGGATAAGTGCTAGCACCCTGCGACCCTATGTAAGATAAAGTGGTCAGAAAATGGATGGATGGAAACAGGAATAGTTGATACTGTAAATTGGTATTACAGGATGTGATTGTCTGTGGGTGTGGTTCTTGGTGGTAACTTCTACTGGAGTTAAGAAAAGGTAACATAACACTTCAGTATAATGGTATTCTTCCAAAGCTAAGCCTT